TGTTGCTTTAAGGATCTGAGAGAAATATGTCTTTAATGACAAATTTTGTGGGTAAGGCTAGGAGAACAATGAATATATGGTAGGTATATTATGACTGTTTCCATCTGCCAGACTATCAATGTTCATTTATTCAAAACAATTAATTAAATTCATGGTTCTATAAATCACACGTGGAACTTCATCTATAACCAGGGCTGTGTCCAAATCTTTGCCAGAATTTGATGAATGAGGCTCAGCGTGAATTTGTTCCAGAGTTAAAATAAATAAATAAATCTAACATCTAAACCCTAATCTTGATTCAGGACACTCTACAAATTACTTTCCCAGAGTCAATTACACTGACCTCGACACTGATAAATGATGCCCTAATGATTTTCCGCTATACAACCTCAATTAAAATGAAGTGAAACTTTATCTTTGCTCCGAACCAAGCATTTTTAATAACAACCAGGTTGCACGCGTTGGGCGCATTCATCGATAACACGCTTTTGGGCCTCCAGTGAAATGAGGACATTAAGACGGAGGATACATAAAATCAAAGTTGCTCATGCTTACTAGCAACCATCACCACTAACCAATTAAGAGTGGGACTCCCTTCTCTGTTTAAGATGCATGGAAACAACAAATGACTGGAGAGGACTGGAGATATTTAAAAAAAAAAAGAGATAAAACCAAAATACTATACATTTTGTTCTCCAGGTGAACCATACTTCATGTAGTCCATTGAAGACAATCTGTTTTATGTGTGCCAGTATTTTAATCCACAACACAAGAGCTAAAGGAAACCGACTTCTGATGCCTGAGCAAAAGGATTTTTGTATCATTTCCATTCGGTCGCTCAAAGATGCTCCATCTGTCACAGTTACAAATGATGAATGCTAGTGTAACGTTATCTGAATGACACAATCCCATAAAAGCATCCTCAGTTTAACAGGCTACTAGATATTTTTGGCAAATGAGGCAGTGTTATACTACAAAAAAAGAAAAAAAAGGGCTGATTTCTTTGTTTTTAAGTACTCTATCCAAGTCTTCCATCATGGGCAGATTGCGGATTAGTTGGCAGAGGGACTTCCTGTCTGTTATTACATCACCAAATAAATAAGGCAGAAAGGCTGCGAGGAAAAGATTTCCACCAGGAAGGGAGTATTATTGTCCAGCTGCTGCAGAGGAAATCAACCTTTACCCTCCCTTCTATTTTACCTCTCCATGTCACCTCTGCTGCTCTCTTTGACTTTCTCTTCCCATTACTGCTTTCGTTATTATCAAACCGACTCACATTTTGATTCTTTTCCTTCACAAATAACGGACTGTTTGTCATTTTTTTTCGTAATTTAGACTGTGTGGGAAAACTTGCCAGGCCGAGACATATTTTTAAAAATCTTTTTTTCATTTGTCAAGTAGTTATGTACAACGTTCTAAAGTTTAATAAGAACCAAATAAAAAAACTCACCAAATCTTTGCCTTCAGTTTAGCTACATACTGTACAGATTACACCATCTTCTTTATTGCAACAAAACTAAGTCGAAAAGCAGAAGCAGTGTGTGAAAGACTTTGATCCGCTTGTCGAATAACCTTTAGCAGCAGTAACTACTTTCAATGATGACCAAGTCTCACCACTGTGAATTCTCACCTCTTCTCAACAAACATGATGTCTGCAGTCATAATTTCATGCACACCTTTGTGATAGTCAGATAGCCTTGCATTTGACGCGAGAACGTTTTACTGCAAAAAAAAGAAAGGGGGTCATGACTGGCAGGAAGTGTGAGTGTTCTGCGGGTGCAATCGCACAACCTCCGCCGTTGTGCATAAAAGCAGGTGTGAAGTGCTTTTGTTCATACATTTTGCTTGGTTTTCACCAGAATGTGGAATGAATCTGGATGTACACCAGCAGATCTTTTTTTTAAAGGTTTAAAATATCGTAAGCATTTGCATAATTAGAACAAGTCAGGTTGGCTTCAGTTAAGGGCCAGTGTTGTGGTATTTTGTGCATCAATCAACTGTCACGTTATGTTACTCTGTGTAACTCGAACCTAAAAAAATGTAGAAGTAACACCAGAGGAACATGCAATGGACTCCCGATTATTTGCGGCTTAGCGTTTGATTTTTCTGTTGAAAGTAACTCCAAATATTTAGTTGAAATTTTACCAATTTGCAGATTTTTTTCTCTTTTACCTACAGCTTATGTCAAAAATTCCAAAGAAGTTGTATCTTTGGAAAATGAAATACTAAGCAGCAAAGCGACTTTGCATGCCATATGCTTGTGTTTGCAAAGCAGCCAATCCTGGAGTGCCATGTTATTGTTTACTGTTGCTGATTGGCTGTACACCCAGGAGCTGAGATAAATAAAACTGTAAATGTTAGTTTCTTTGGTAATGCTAATATACCAGAGATCTTGGTACCTCAGTGATGTATCAATAGCAGAAAAAAGAAAAACTGTATATGTTAGCGTTCACATAGTTTCTACTCTGAATATTGTGAATATTAAGGTTTCTTCTGTGTTTAAACTGCTTTCAGATGTAAGAATATTTATAATATTAGTGTGGGATCACTATACTATTCCATAATGTATTTTTGTGTCAAACTATGAAACCATTCATATTTTATACTGGCGTATTGCCTGCTTTGTATTTTGCTTATAGATTGATAATTCAGTCATTAGTTCAAAGGATGTTAATTTCCACAAAAAAAAAAGGTTGTTCAGATGTACTTTTGCTAATGTAAACCGTAATGCCAACTTTGCTATTTTAGTAGCAAATTAACAATATAAATAAACAAATTGGTATCAAGTTACATTAAAGATTTAAAAAGGAACAATTTTAAAACCTCTAAGATTTTCCAGTATTAATCTCCAACGATCTAAAGTCTCTTTAAGCATGGGAATGATTGTTGTTTCCTGGGGCAAAGTGAAGCATTGGATAGCCCCTCCCCCACCTGTTGATTACACTCCAGGTCAATTAGCTGAAAATTACTGTAGATTTCTTCCACGTTTTGATATCGGGGTATATTTCCATTGAAAATAGGCACATGGTGCAGATTACTCTAACACCAGACCCTATATTTTCTGTTATAACTTAAAATAAAATCTATTAGATGAAATTGTAGATTATTACATACATTTTTAATGCTATTTTTGCTGTGGGTTATCATACCTTGAGAATGATACTGGCCTATTCACAGTCGGATTTAGCTGAGAGCTTGACGCAGTCTTTTTTTAATAACACCAAGCATGTGAAGAAACAACCATGAGAAATGGGAAGTGTCAGCCTAAACTAGCGCTGAATGTAAGGCATAAGAAGTCGAGTCACCGTGGAGACATGTTTCCCCATGAGCCACTTGCTGTTACTTCAACTATTGCCTCGACTTCTGCTGGGTTTACATCACATCTCTTCCCACAGTCCTGCTTCATCTTCAACTTTCTCTAAGTCTAATGAAATTCAGCTCTCTTCAAGTGCGTGCATAAATAATCCCAACACCATCACCCCCATGGAGCCAGCTAAATAATGCATTTCATTCTTCTCATGCTCGCTACATGCAGTAGCACACAAAAAGAAAGCCGGAAAAGCTCAGCAGCACCTCACAATGTTTTTAGTGAAAACAATGGTTGAAAAGGAAAGAAAATGTCAAGTCAAATACAAAAAAGTCGATGCATTGTTAAAAAAATGCACTTTTAAATGACAAAATGCCACGCAAGCAATTATATTAACATGCCATATTAAAATTGAAGGCCGTCTCAAAAAGAGCTAACTGCTGTTAGCAAGTGACTTTGCCTGATGAGCCGAGATTAAAAAAAAGTATTCTACGTAGACATGATGGTCAGTGCTTTAAGCTTCACACTATGTATCCATGTTTAATGCTCTTATTTTGAAGGTGGAAAGGAAGTAGTTCTCAAGTTGCGTTTAAGTAAAAACTTCAGCTCAGTCTGGGTAATAAAACTCAGTACAGTGCCAACCATTCTGACTGATTATATACTTATATTTTGTCATCCTAATGTTGCAGCATTTAGTGTATTTAGTGGAAAACTAAATACAAAGCAACAGAGTGTAGAAACAAAAAACTTGTACCAAAAATAATTATCAGGTATTGATAAAGTGACATTTGGTGCTGAACTAAAGATTTATTTTTGTGAATTTGGATTGCCTTTGATCATCTATAGTTCAAAGTCTAAAATGCTAATAAATCTGTTTCTAAAAAAAAATAAAATAAAGATACAAATTAATTTGCTAAAACACATTTCCTGTGTTTTTATTATGTCATAACCACCTTAAAATTAAATTACCCCAAAAATCTCACAACATAGTCTTGTCAAACATGGATTGGATTATCTTGCACCAAATACAGATTCTTTGAAACACAGTTTGTGATTTCTGAAATATTATAGAAACAAATTAAGAGAGGGGTAGGTGTTGGTTTCTAAGAAATGCAGCTAAAATCTCATCACCTTACTGCGAATACAATATTGTATATCATCTTATCTCCTGAGCTGGATACTGCATGCATGGAAAGAAGACCTGAGAAAACTTTTGATGTTTTACCCAACTTAAAGGTTGTTGCTTTGATCTGAACACCCAAAAACCACCAGCATGTGAAAAAGTCTCAGCTTTGTGTTTTTAAACATCTATGTTATATTTATCTGCCTTCATTTCCTCTTCTGAGATGAAAAAAAAAATGGCCATACAGACTCGGTCTTCTCTGTTCTTTTTTTTATTTTGTTCTTATTTTAAAGTTATGTTCAAGGAAACGCGTGCTCTCTAAAAACTGTACCTTTGCTTTGTCTAAACGATAACAGACTGAAAAGCGGTCAGGTTGGACATCAATTGGCTAAATTTCGAACGGATGGGCATTTAGCTGAAAACACTCACACATTAAATAGAGCAGAAAGCTTATAGAAATATCTAAAACCTCACAATAAAACAAGAGCATTAAAAAATATCAACAATCATAAAACAGTAGGCAATCTTTCTAAAGTGATGGAGGAAACTGGAGCCTCCTGAAGCTCTTACCTGAGTGCTGAGGGTTGCAAGTGTGGTGGAAAGACGCCTCTCTGTCTCGGTGGATCTGCAGAAACAGGAAGACACTGAATCAGCCTCATCACCATGTGACCGTCACCCACAAAGAAATAATGATGCAGAACGACATCGTCTGTTAAAAGAGAGCGCTGATGGTACTGTTGCTAATCTGCAGCAACCCACGAACATCGAGTAAACGACTCGAATGTTCGTGGGACTCAGTGGTTCCTCTCAGGGGGCCGGGGTCTTCGTCTGGCCCATAGAGGAAGTTACTTGAAAAAGGTCCAACTTTTTCCTCCGGTCAAAACACGCCGCCGCTCAGATACTCATGAGCGGCTTGCTTGAGATGTGTGGTCACAACGCTGTCGCTCTGCTTCCTTTGTGGGATTAATGTCTACACAACAGCTGCGGTGGTGCATGTGTGTGCATGTGTGTGTGTGCGTTCCAGAGAGAAAGAGTGACAGCAGGTCACCACAGTTAACTCAAAACCTAACTAGCCTCAGAGAAGCTTGCTAACTTTTAATGAACGCCGTCCATGAAAGGGAAATAAAACTGCTCCCACTTTGAGCTGCTTCCTACTACAAATATCACCAAATAACTTCTTTTTTTTTTTTTTCCTTCCAACCCACTTTGCCACTGGTTGTTGAGCTGACAATTACACAACAAAAGCACAGCCTGTTAATCTGATATCTGCGAACAGAGATTTTCAAAATTTTTTGTCTTCATTGCTGTTTCTCTTTACTCTTTAGCTCGTTTCCTCCCCTCCTTAATTTGCCCCATTTAGCTTCCACCCCCGGTAAGCTCACGCTAAGTCTGGCTCAGATCAGCAAGCTTTGGCGTTGGCCTTTAAACTTGCCTGTACAAAAACGGAGCCTTGAGTTGGGAATAAACAGCTTTATGATCTGAAGGCTACATCCTGTTTTCATCTGGGAAAACAAAAGGTGTTGGTCCAACACGAGTCGGATCAAATTTCACTCACCTACTGTTGGCACGTCAGGCACTTTAATGAACTCTGGAGTGTTTATTCAGAGCCGGTCCAAGATTTTCTGGGGCCCGAAGAAGAGATAAATTTGGGGACCCTCTGTCTGTTCAGCTCTCTGAATCTGATGCAACTGCCTGCTGTTTGGCAGTCATTTTTTTTGACACAGTAAGGTGTCCAGAGTCTATGACAGAGTATTTGGGCAAGCCTAAGATGCATTTTTTCATTAATTACAACAATAAAGTCGTAATATTGCAAGAATATTGTCGGGCAATGATAAAGTTTAAATAATCAGAGAAAAAAGTTGAATTAATGAGCGATTTACTGTATTTTCCAGACTATAAGTTGCACCAAAGTATAAGTCGCATTTTTGAGGGAAATTTATTTGATAAAATCCAACACCAAGAACTGACATGCCATCTTGAAAGGCAATAAAAATAGAATAGAGGCAACCACAGGCTGAATAATTGTACAGTGTGCTCACGTTACATCACAAACAACAAACTAAGAATGTGCCTGGTAAGTTAACATAACATATTAAGAGTTATTCAGATAACTATAACATAAATAACATGCTAACAAGTTTACCAAACCATCCGTGTCGCTCCAAATCACTAAATCGAATGAAATCTTCATCCTCGATGTCGCTTGTAAACAACTCTGCTAATTCCAAAAGTAGAACAACACATGCCTAGAGCGCCCTCTTGCAGTTTAGTGTGAAAATAACATGTGATATGACATAATGATGTGTTAATTTCCACACATAAGTCGCTCCAGAGTATAAGTCGCACCCCTGGCCAAACTATGAAAAAAACTCCAACTTATAGTCCAGAAAATACGGTAGTCAAATTATTTTCAGTAGCAGGGTTTCAAAACGACTGAGCCAACGACCTTGTCCATGTCAAAGAATGAACCGGTAATACTGAGTCTTCATTCTGTTAATGTTGTGACTGCAGTCTTGTACAATTATGACTCTATTGTCATAATTAAAAACTAAACTATGTTTAGTCTGGAACTAATACTCTGTCATAAGAGTCTTTGTCCACAAAGTGTAGAAAAATAGTCAGAAAAAATGCAACTGCAAAAAAAAAAGAAAAGAAAAAAAAATTAAGTGTATCTGTAAGAATGCGAGCCACAGATGGAATAGTCCGGAGGCACTGAAAAGATTTATTCACCAATTTCCACTCCTTCTGAGACAAAATAAATATATTTTTATTGATTGTGACAGATTCCTATTAAGTTGGCGGGTTTCTACATTTCAAGATCAGAATATCTATGAGGAGATTATTTTGGTGTAGAAGAAATATTTTTGCACAGGCAACATATTTTAGACTTGTGGATCATACAGATTGACGTCTTACTTAAGGTTAATATGTTCCTGGCAAATAGTCTCAGTAAAGAAAAGCCTTCAAGTCGACGGCAACGACATTGAGAGATCTCACCTCTGGACAAAGATATTAAAGACCAGGGTTAAGCTTTTACATAAAGAGAATCTCCTGTTTTATAATATATGAATTAAACATTGGACTATAGATGATGGGCTAAGATGTGTGTGCGTGTAAACATGCGCATTTCTGATGCAGAAAAGTGAGGGTCAAAGAGGCAAATTTAAGTTCAGAGTGCCTCAAGTAAAAGAGGCTGGGAGCGCCTAGTGAAGCACATTTATATCTGATTGATTGACTAATCAAGGGCTTTTTTTACACTTGGAAAAAAGGAATTGAAATATTTGCATCTTTTAACAAGTTTCTAATATTGAATAAAAGAGGCTTAAGTGGTTAAATGGAAAATCTTCAATGTGCCAGTTTATTTTTTTTACCTAATTAAACATCAGATCAAAGACTAATCCATTTATAAAATAACCGTTGCCAACTATGTACCTGGTGAACTTTCTACTTACGAGTTGAAAGTTCACCAGGTACACAGTTGGTACAGAAATAAGCTTTCGCAAAGATACGCTTATTTCTGTACAGTTGCAGTTTTTAAAAACAGTTTGTGATGGCATGGATAGATGTAAAGGCTTACTTTTTTTTTTCTTTTTCACATTTCACAGTTTTTATCTTGTTCAAGGTTTGCCATGGATTTCCCATGGATTTTCATCAAATATTACAAACAAACATAAAAATACCGAAGACCGGATGAGAGACTCGACACTACCATGAAGGTCAACTCCAGTGGGGGTTTGAGAAACTAACCCTCTGCTCTCCCAGCGCACGCATCGACTAGCCCACTGACCCAGAGAAAGACTGAGCTCTGTTGTCCAGACCTGGGAGGAGTGAGCAAGAGCCTTTACACTTTAGCTTTCCTGCAAACACACACACATACAAAAAACATTGCTACTTGCAGCCTGCTCAGCAGCGCCACATGATAAAGGCTTGCTTGTGTTGCCTTGACTCCTTCATCAAGTCTCACATGCACACAACAAATCCCACACACTTAGATGCAGATTCGTTTCCCCCCCTTTCCCTCGCAGCTGTGTTCAGATATCAAACAGGGCCAGCTGAGAGAGAACAAACATGCTGACGAGGAAAGATTAGCTGGCCACAGAGGGCTTCGGTACACACACAGACGTGAAAGATGTACTGTAAATGCTTGCACAGATTTTGCAGGTTCCAGTTGCTGTTTGCAACAAAGGGCCCGGTGTGGACTAACCTCATCAGGGAAAGTGGCACTGGAATGTTAGAAACGCAGTCAAATGAGGAATGGGAGCTATAATAAAATATGTTTACAGAAAGAACAGAATTAGAAGACTTATGGCACTGAATGACCTGGAGTGATGGGGAATGAAATGTACAACTGTGAATGGATCAGAGCGTGGAGAGACAAAAGCTTGATGCCTCTTTATTTTGGCTCAGCTGATGTAATAAAAATGTATGGGGACTGTTGAAGGACACAGGTGAGAAGGCAGTTAATAAAAGCCCTGGGATTTCATGTCACTAACTTCTTGATTCTTTTCCTTCGATTTCAACTTCTTGAATAGCACAGCTTCAACATCGCTAACGATCACAAACAGGGTTTCTGCAGGTTTCACCAACTCAAAATTAAGACTTTAAAACCTTTTTAACACCATTATGTATAAAATATACGACCGGCTTCACAGCAATGTGCAAAACAAACCTGCACACACATACATATATATCCATAATCGGAAATCTATATAAAACTATTGAAGAAAAATTTTATTATTTTTTTTAGATTAACTATAGATCGATATTGTTTAATGTAAACATGCCAATTTTTTTAAAACATGCTTATCGATTAAAAGATTTTACGCAATGATGAGGTGATGGTTTTGGCTGTATTGAAATGTAATTACCATGCAAATCTTGCTACTGGCGAAAAAGACGAAGACGGCGACAGGAATAGTAGGAGAATGAAGGCATTGCATGTTTTTCAATAATTATTTTATGATCAAACTTATTCAAGCTTGATAGAACAATCATTATATAAAATACACAAGAAAACATTTCAGACCCACAAGTTTTAAATGTCTTAAATTCAATTTATGAATGGATTAAAGACATTTTAAGGTCTCACTTCAGACGCATGAATTTAAGCGTTTTTAAGGATGCATGGACACGCTGATGAAGAAAAGCGGAAATAAAGCAGGCTTGCTTTCAGCATGCTGTGATCAGTAGCGTCTCGAGGCGTCGGCCAGTGAGGCCTGCAAAACAACGAGTCAGTCAGCAAGGGAGCTGATCACCCCGACTGCAGGCTGCCAGCCCATATTCTGAGTCTTGTGCATATTTGTAGTGCTGGGGAATCTAAACTGCACCCAGTAAAAACACATCTGGTTTAAAAATAAAAGGCAGACTGCTGAGTGACTGTGTATCTGCGTATGCATGTGTCGGTGCGTGCGTGTGTGGCAGAGCATGCAGCGGTTGGACTGCTGCCTTGTTTTCAAACAGGCGTGCAGCCAGAGAGGTTGTGCATCACTGAAGGATGCCATGGCAGACAGCACGGCTGTTCCCAAGCCAGGCGTGTTTACGCGGCACGCTTTGATATGCGACGCTGGCGAGCAGCCGGCCTCGGGATGCAGCTATTCTCAGGTGAACCTGGGAAATGCACTTTCT